GAACAACTGGACATACATCGATAAAATGGTACATGTCTTCCATAAACAATGATCACATTGGACATAATCCATCTTCATTTAAATAAAGTCTATGGAGCAATTTCAACCTTTCAACACGTACTTTTATGATTATTAGGAGATCGTGAGATGCGGTCTGGTGTGACGTATGTTTTAGAAAAACATTTTCTTTATCGTGCCATCGTTTCGATCTTTATTGAGATCATCTTCAGGGCTCAAAGTGTTTGTTTTCTGTGTAGATGTGCCATTTTTGTGTGTTCTGTGACACTTTCATCACGACACACAAGAATGACACATCTACACAGAAAACAAACACTTTGAGCCCTGAAGATGATCTCAATAAAGATCGAAACGTTGGCACGATAAAGGAAATGTTTTTCTGAAACCTACATCACACCAAACCGCATCTTTCGATCTCCAAATCATCATTGACTAACGGTCACTAAACACCACAAATTACGTTCACGGAATTAAAAGTGAAAAGTTTACTTAAATGGTTTTTATCTGAATCAAAATGGAAATTCAATTCCTTATAAAACATATTTTTTAATTCAACTATCATTTATAGGTGATTGCTTTATCTCCAAATTATACTTTATGTAATTTGTTAAACATTATCGGCCTATCATTAATATCAGTAAAGCTTATTCATGTCCCATACATGAAGATTCTTGAACTAGGACATGATCTGCGATTAATTCTAAAAATAATGGTACAAAACGTTTACAAGCACTAGTCTTTTTGCGCAAAACCAAGCATGTTTTCAAACGGCATAAGTGTGCAGTTATGCATTGAACTTTGTTTGTTTATTCACCGCCAATCGATGGGACATGTTTGCGTAGGATGCTGGGATTATATGAGCCTAATTGTGTTATGCGGGCCGATAACAATGGCAAACTCAACTGCTTCATCATTATGCACGATCCACTTTTACCTGTTAGAATATTGATCGTTTTCTTTGGTCAAACGCACGTGGTAAGCAAATAAGACGATGAATTTGTAATAATGAATATTGAATTGCTGAATGTCTTTGATAGAATAGACAAAAAACTTGTGACTTCTTTTTCAATATGTAATATGATTTTATTTGTTGAATAATCGTCCATTGTATTAAATTAAGTTTCGAAATCTGGAAAAAATCAAGTAGAAATATTTCAGTTTCAAAAACTTATAAGGAGACGTGGGATCACAAATTTCAATAAATTCTTTTTTTATATTAAGTTAAAAATATGACTATATCTGAAAATACTCGCTCGAGCTTTCATGCCAATGGGGGCTCTAGGAGCCGAGAAAAAACGAAGTAATTTTGATTTTTTTAAATATGGTCTGATATCTATTTTATGCATGTATTTCAAGCTTACTATTTTATTATTCGCTACTCGCACGATAAAGTCCGTCGGGTGTTTCTACACCTCAAACGCAACAAAGTTCGTATGAACCAGAAGCACAAAAAAACGAAAAATTTCGCGTAATTTTTCTGCTTTGGTTGGTTCATTATGTTTTTTCCCCTTTTTATGTATTTTGTTTGATTTTTAAGTTGAATTCTTCTTTTTTGCGCTTTTTTTATTAGATTAAATTTGGGTTTTCAAACTCGTGTATTGTTGTTCTTATTTTCGTTTTGTCTGTTAAGCGACGAAATTGGTTAAATTTTTCTGCTTTGGTTGTTCACTATGGTTTTTTGCCCCTTTTTATGTATTTTGTTTGATTTTTTACGTTGAATTCTTCTTTTTTGTGCTTTTTTTATTAGATTAAATTTGGGTTTTCAAACTCCTGTATTGTTGTTCTTATTTTCGTTTTGTCTGTTAAGCGACGAAATTGGTTACATTTTTTTGCTTTGGTTGTTCACTATGTTTTTTTGCCCCTTTTTATGTATTTTGTTTGATTTTTTACGTTGAATTCTTCTTTTTTGTGCTTTTTTTATTAGGCTAATTTTGGGTTTTCAAACTCCTGTATTGCTTTCTTATTTTGGAAATAAATTTTGTCTGGGGCAAAATGTTGAATTAGTAGATTAACTCCACTCCCCCCTTTTTCACTCAGTCACAATTTTTTTTCCATTTAGCATAAAATTTCTGCATTTTGGTTCGGTGGAGTAATTAAAGACCAGGATATATTGCTAGTTTATTAAACGAAGAGATTTCTACGAAATGTGACAAACTCTACCGTGCATTTTTCAAATGCGGTTGTAAATTTTTTACTAATTTTAAATTTACTAGTTTTTGAAAGATGTAGTGTTTGTTTTGTTACGAAAAATTAAATTGAACTTTCTAGAAGGGTGCCTCCTTAAAGGAAATTAACTCTGTTTTCAGTGCACATTTTGGATTTCCACAAGAACGGATAGTTCAAGAGCCTCGAGTAAATTTATGATAAAAACCGAAGATAGTTGAAATAAACAACATCAAATGTTGAATATCTGCGAAAGGGTTGAAATTCGGACCGTGGTTCATACAAACATTTTCGTTGCATTTGAGGTGTAGAAGCACCTGACCAACTTTGTCCTACTTTCATATACATAAAAAATTGTTACATATATTATCTATGACCATGACACCAGTATTGTCGTAAATAATATTTGAAAAGTGCCGGTGGCGAGCCTGTGCCGTTAGTGATTTCATTTTGAAATTTTGCATAACTTCTTCTGACTTCATGGTTTACTTGTTCTTTGTAGAGCGCGTAGAATTTCATTGTTTTTTTTAAATTCATTGAATGCACAGAAAATCTTATTTCTTTTTTTTTCTTTACTCCCACAAAATTCAATTTCTTCTTCTTTCATTCAAGTAAAATTTTTGCTACTCAGCTAATGCTTAAATCGAAAAGTTTTTAAATATTCTTATGTTTTAACAATGCACGTTTGCGTTCAACCGACTTGTCCGGAAAAAATTGTAAGGAAAAGGTCCAGGTTCCCGGTTCGAATCCAGCGGCCCTGAATCCAAACCCCAACATATTTACAAATGGCATTTTTTTAAACAACCCGAAAAAAATCAATCGTACCTGGAGGTTGATACGAACTCTGCAGAAATAAATAAAAATAAACAGGAGTTATATTTTAATACATCGTTCGTTGTTGTCTAGTTTCTCTGCTTATAATCATAATATCATCAATTATTGATAAAGACAGTCTGGAATCGTTCTGAAATTCAGATTCGGAATTTATTTAAATAATAGATTTACTGTACCAAGTTAAATTCTGATTATTGCTAAAAGAAGGTAAATTTAAAAGTGGTAGATGTGTAAAAATGAATATTTAATTATATTATCTGGACATGTTAATTTGTAATAAATCGACCAAATTTTTGTGTAGGGCACATAGCCATACAAATATTTTGAAATACTCTCTTTAAGTATGTCGGGTTCGAATGCAGGGCCGCTGGATTCGAACCCGGGACCTTTATCTTATGAGCTCCGTGTCAACTTCTAAACCGTTGCGGCCACAGACGCCCCCGAAAATGATCTCTGTTGTTTCCCCTTGCACGCTATTGACTATTAAAGACGTTTTATTTTTTATCAAATTCCTTAGAAAATATACAACAGTCATTAAAGGAAAAAATAAATTAAAAGGTCGTTATTCTCTAGTTTCTCTGCTTACAACCCTAATATAAACCAATTATTGATAAGAACCACTGGGTCGTCCTGAAATTCAAATACGGAATTTATTTAAATAAAAAAATAAAAAATAAGAAAAGCTAAATTTAAAAGTGGCAGATGTGTAAATATGAAGGTTTAATCTATCTTGTCGAAAGACTGTGAATTTGTAATATATCGGCTAAATTTTGGTGGAGGGGACATCAACGTACAAATATTTTGAAATAATCTCTGTTGTTTCCTCTTGCGCGCTATTGACTATTAAAGACGGTTTCTTTTTTATCGACTTCCTCAGAAAATATACATTAGTAAAAGAAAAAATAAATAAAAAGGTGTAATATTTTAATACAGCTATCGTGTTAAATTCGCAAGTATGGGAGGTTACTGTCTACTCGCCCTGCTTATAACCCTGATATTCACATCATCCGAGTGTTGTATTTTCTAGTCAATAGCACGATATTATTGACAAGGACCGACTGGAATCGTCCCGAACTTCTTTAAATAATAAAACCACTGTACGAAGTTAAACTAATGTTATTGCTAAGAAAATAAGAGTGATTTGTAAAAATGAAGGTTTATTTATAATTATCTCGTCGATGTGTTAGTAGAAAATGGCTACATTTTGAAGAGGGATCATCGCCGTACGAATCTTTTGAAATCACTATTTCCTCTTGCATGCCGTTGACTATTAAAGACTCTTTTTCTACAGAATTCCTCAGGAAATGTAAAATAGTCATTAAAGAAAAAAAAATGGTGAAGATTACTTGAGGAAAACCGATGATATTGATCAATTATGCAACGCCTATGATTTTTCCTCTTGTGTTGCATGTTAACACAGTTTAAAAATTTACTTACAAACAAACCCAAAACTTATAAACTTATAATACAGCGAGAGCCTCAAATTTGAAATTAAGCTTAGCTACTAGGAATGTTGCGTGTGTCCTCGAGAGTCAAAACGAGATGCTATTAAGCCGTAAGCACTTTGACCTTTCCTTCATCTCCCAGCTGGCTCGAAAACTAATTCTCACTTTAGAAAAAAATGGTTCTCCTAAATTGTTTTGTATTAATAATAAACTTAAAAGGTAAAATTTACTGTTGGATATTGAAAGTTTTTCACCATAGGAAGAAAATTTTAAAGGATGTTTTACACTAGGTAAAAATATAAATGATATTGATGTCTTATTTTTTTAAATCAAATAATACAGTTCTGAGTAAATATATGCAAAAGTTACTACAGGTAAAATTCGCCGGAATGAAAGGAGTTATTCACTGCCTAAACCTCAAATTCACATCATCCGACTACTTTTTTTTTTCAGTCAATAATCCAAATATCTAACCCCTTTCGAAACACTGTGTGGGGACAATCGATTTTTACAAGAGATCGTAAATTTTGCTTTACTTACTTCAATCAAGTAGTCGACGCTCCTGTAAAACAACGATTCACAGACTGAGAGAAAATAGGATGAAGGTCCTCCACCCCACTTAGAGGCCGAGGAGCCGATTACGACGGAAGGTAGAAGTGGGAGATCTCAAGAACCAGGCCGCAGTCTATGCTACCGCATAGATAAATATGTGAAATCACTACGGGTGGGACGCGTTTCTGATGGTATCTGGTCTGCCCTTTCTCGCCGGCTCTTGTACAATACACCCAGGACACACTCCGAGGAATTCTCCGTCATTTAAAATAATTATACGGAAAAGGAAAAACAAGCGACTGTAAGAGAATATGTAATAAGAAGACCTTTCGGGTGTTTGAGAATTGAATTTGAGCCGGATTCATCGTCGGAATAGACAAAAAGGGTTTCAACACGTTAAATTTTGTAATTGTGAAGAGGCCTATTAAAGATTGATTAATTTGTTATTCAAACAGTTAATTTAATAAAACCTACATTTACATAATACTTAGATGTAGGCTAATGCATAATGTAATTTTTTTTTATATAACATTTTAAAATCAGAACTTTAGTAAGGCAAAACTGAAAGATATTTTCATTTACCCGACAAAGGACGAAATATTTTCATAATTCTATTCGATTTCGTGGTCCGATTGACCAAATAACATCTTTCAATTAATTAATCTTTAAGTAAGGTATTGGTTGAGATAAAAAAGTCAGTGTCATGAGCGGGATTCGAACCCACGATCTTCGGCTAAATACGCCGCTGCTCTACCAATTGAGCTAACGTGACTTCGATCAACTCGGAACCGAAAATCGTGGGATCGAATCCCGCTCGTGACGCTGACTTTTTTATCTCAACAAATACCCTACATATTTTCGTAATTTTTTATCCGGAGAGTATAAAAGGTTTTTATTTTTATTTTTTATTTTATTTTACGAGGGTTCGCAACAGCAGAGGTTATATCAACCCTCGGGGTGCCGGTGTTTTTGAAAAAAAGCCCATTTGTAAGTATGTCGGGTTTGAATGCAGGGCCGCTGGATTCGAACCCAGGACCTTTACCTTATAGTGATGAGCGCCGTGTCAACGCCTAAACCGTTGCGGCCACCGACGCCCCTGTATAAAAGGTTTTGTACACTATGTAAAGGTAATCAACAAGTTATTAATGTTGCGTTTACATTTTAGGTCAACTATTAACATTAATTAAGGTTTTTTGGTTGAGATAAAAAAATCAATCAATCCCGCTCGTGCCATTGACTTTTTTATCTCAACCAAAAAACCTTAATTAATTGTAATATATTAATAGGTCAAGCGGACCACGAAATTAGTGAATTCAACTATTAACCTTTATACCTAGTTATCATGGAAAATAAAACGAACAAATACAAATGTTCGGTTTTTGTCTGTGAATGTATATACATGGTGGTTCGCTACTCATATGGCAAAATTTGACAGGTGCACATACAACAAAAAAGGCCGAAACGTGGCCCGATTCTCAACCTTTTCGCAGATATTCAATTTTCCCCCCAACTATTTACGGTTTTTGTCATAAATCTACTCGTAGTTCTTGAACGATTCAATTTTGGGGAGAAAACTTTGAAAAGAGAAGCACCCTTCTAGAACTTTTATTTAATTTTGGTCAAAAGCAAACAATCAATTTCTGAAAAACTGCTAAATTTAAAACGAGAAAAAACCTAAATTTCTAACCTCATTGGAAAATTTCACGGTAGAGGTTGAAGTTTTTCTGTGCATCTAATGAATTTTAGAAAACCGAATGAAATTCTACGCTCTCTAAAAAGAACTAGTAAACAATGAAGACAGAAGGTATGCAAATTTTAAAATGAAGTCAATAACGCCACAGCCTCGCCACCACCACTTTTCAAATATTATTTATGACAATATTGGTGTCATGGTCATAGATAATATATGTAACAATTTTTTATATATATGGAAGTACGACAAAGTTGTTCAGGTGTTTCTACACCTCAAATGCAACGAAAAAGTGCACAAAAAAAGGAAGAATTCAACGTAATTTTTCTTTTTTGTTTCTTCTTTCTTGTTTAGTGCTAGTAAACGATGAAGAGAGAAGAAATGAAAATTTCAACATGAAGTCGCTAACGCCACAGGCTCGCACCGGTACTTTTCAAATATTCTTTACGACTGGTGTCATACTCTTAGATAATATATGTAACAATTATTTTATTTTGGTTGGAACGTGCTGGTCACGCTGTGTTGGGATGTACGAAGTACGACAAAGTTGGTCAGGTGTTTCTTCACGAAAACGTTTGTATAACCACGGTCCGAATTTCAACCCTTTCGCAGATATTCGTCATTTGATGTTGATTGTTTCAACTATCTACGGTTTTCATCATAAATTTACTCGAGGCTCTTGAACTATCCGTTCTTGTGGAAATCCAAAAAGTGCACTGAAAAGAGTGTTAATTTCCTTTAAGGAGGCACTCTTCTAGAAAGTTCAATTTAATTTTTCGTAACAAAACAAACACTACATCTTTCAAAAACTGGTAAATTTAAAATGAGTAAAAAATTTACAACCGCATTTGAAAAATGCACGGTAGAGCTTGTCACATTTCGTAGAAATCTCTTCGTTTAATAAGCTAGCAATATATCCGTGTCTTTAATTACTCCACCCAACCAAAATGCAGAAATTTTATGCTAAATGGAAAAAAATTTGTGACTGAGTGAAAAAGGGGGGGGGAGTGGAGTTAATCTACTAATTCAACATTTTGCCCCGGGCAAAATTTATTTCCAAAATAAGAAAGCAATACAGAAGTTTGAAAACCCAAATTTATCTAATAAAAAAGCACAAAAAAGAATAAGACAACGTAAAAAATCAAACAAAATACATAAAAAGGGGCAAAAAACATAGTGAACAACCAAAGCAAAAAAATTTAACCAATTTCGTTGCTTAATAGACAAAACGAAAATAAGATCAATAATACAGGATTTTGAAAACCAAAATTTAATCTAATAAAAAAAGCACAAAAAAGAAGAATTCCACGAAAAAACCCAAACAAAAGACATAAAAAGGGGCAAAAAACATAGTGAACAACGAAAGCAGAAAAATTTGACTAATTTCTTGTCTTAACAGCCAAAACCAAAATAAGAACAACCATACGGGAGTTTGATTACCTACATTTAACCCAATAAGAAAACACAAAAAAGAAGAATTCAACTTAAAAATTAAGAACAGTGAAGAACCAAAGCAGAAAGAAACTTTTTGTCCTGTGCAAAATTTATTTTCCAAATTTAACTTAATAAAGAAAGCACAAAAAGAAAGAAAAAGGCAAATGAAAAAGAAACAGTAAACATAGCTAACAACCCCCCCCCCAAAAAAAAAAAAAAAAAATCTATAAGATCTCTACACTAAGCACAGACAAAAAAGGAAAAAAGAACAATATAGAAGTTGTAAAAACCAACTTTGAGCTAATAACCAAAGAATAGGCCAACATAAAAACCAAACAGTTCACGTAAAAGAGAGACAATATCGTGAACAATCAATTTAATTTGAATTTTTATCTTTTTGTGCTTTTTTTTAAAGTTAAAGTTGGGAAATAAATTTTGTCTAAGACTTTTTTCTGAAAATCCTTTTCCAAAATTTCTGATGTAGTAATTAAAGAAAAGGGTATACCGTTAAAAAGCTTATTAAACGAATAAGTTTTTATGAAATTTGACAAGCTCAACCGTGAATTTTTTCAGTGAGGTTGCAAATATGGTTTTTTTCTAATTTTAAATAAAGCAGTTTTTGAAACATTTAGTGTTTGTTTTGTTACCAAAAAGTAAGTTGAAAGTTTTAGAAGGGTACATTCTTACAGGATATTTAACGCTATTTCAACTCACTTTTTGGATTTACATAAACTTGAATAGTTCAAGAGCTACGAGTAGATTTATAACGAAAACTGATAGTTGAAAAAAACAAAATGTGTGGTGATTAGTGACCGTTAATCGATAATTATTCAGAAATCGTGAGATGCGGTCTAGTGAGATGTAGGTTTCAGAAAAATATTTTCTCTATCGTGCCAACGTTTCGATCTTTATTGAGATCATTATCAGAGCTCAGTGTTTGTCTTCTCTGTAATTGTGCCTGTTCCCTTGTGTAATTTTTCAAAAACAGCAAAATCTCACTGGCACTCTCAACACGACACGCAAGAATGGCATAATTACACAGAAGAAAACACTTTGAGCCCTGAAGATGATCTCAATAAAGATCGAAACGTTGGCACGATAAAGAAAATGTTTTTCTGAAACCTACATCACACCAGACCGCATCTCACGATTTCTGAATAAAACATAAAATGTTGAATATCTCCGAAAGGGTTGAGACTCGGAGCATAGTTTATACGGTGTTTTTTTTCATAATTGGGGCGTAGAATATGCTGGCAAAGTTGAATAGAGAAACACCCTGTGTAACCACACAGCCAAATAATAATAACCATAACAATATAACCATACAGCTAGGCACTTTCTGTCCTCGAACAGTCAATCTTGATAAAACTGTAATTATCGCTTGACCGAAGTGCAGTTTTTCTTTTTCGGTACCCCTCATACACCAGCCCAGAATTCTGTTCATTATATCAACACTTGTTGAAAAAATTAATCATTATGGATAATCTGTATGTCCGTTAAACCATGGTTTTATAGGCTACAATTAAAATTTGTAGTATACTATGTATATAAACTCGTATAAAAAAATGTATTTCCAGGGCTTATACATCCCAGTGTTTACAAAACAAATAACAGAGCCTATTCGTCCAAATATAGATTTTTTCACCTTCATGCCAGCAATTTATTATCTATCACGATGTTTAGAAAGGCATGTATTCTTGAATTTTTGTTTGTTGGTACAATGTAAGATAAAACAACAAAGCGGAATCAAGAAGGAAAGGGTTCGATGTTATGTTTACGATACCGTAATATTTTGAAGACCTTGCTGTGTCATGCTACAGGAGAATGATTTTATTTTTTACCAAGTCAATTTATTTCTTAACCCGTCAAATTCAAATGGACACCTCCAACCATGCCCTTGGCATTAGGAACAACCTCAACGCAGCCTTATTTGAACGGGAAAACCTTGACT